CCAATAAGTGTTTTTTGATAAATTAAGAAAATATATGAATAATTGGTTGAAAATTGTATCAAAATAATGGATGAATCCAATCAAGTCCAGTGCATAACCAATATTAATATCCAATGGATGGAACTGATCTGTTCCAATCATCCATTGGATTGGATTGGATTTGTTCGGATGTCCTATGTTAATTAGACTCGATTAGATGACAAAATTCAATATCCATTGGATGAGTGGATCGGATCCACCTAAATTCATTTTATATCAAACGCCCTCGTTTCCCTTAGGGGTGAACATAGGCAGGTACCCGTCTTATTTGACAGGAACCAGAACTGAACCGGTTAGAGCGGTTCTTGAACTTTTGGAACCAGTTCTGGGTACCCGCTTCCTAAAATATTAAAATTTTGTTATTTAGAAATAAAAAATAAAATATTGTCAAAACACTAAATAAATAAACAAGAATACAAATTATACAGAATAATGGTTACAATATTGTTTAAAACCATAATAGACTAATAGTATATGTTGAAAGTTTAACAATTACATACTATAATTGTAAATGTTCAAAGTTTAACGATTATATACTACGAATTCAATTAAACAAAAAATTTGAAAAAATACGAATCATTTTATCTCAAATTCTGAATCTTGTTTCAACTTCTTGCATACCCATCTCATCCTCAACCTCGTACGGTACGTGTGAATAATTGAGGGTTAAGAAAACTACACAAACTCGTAAAAAACTGCACATATTTTTAACAAAAAACTACACAAATTTTATATAAAAAATCTACACAAACTTTGTAAAAAAACTGCATAAATTATATAAAAAACTGTATATATTTTTAACATAAAACTACACAAATTACATAAAAAACTGCACAAATTATATAAAAAAACTGCACAATCGGTCTCGGCGGGTAACGGTTCCGAAAAACTGAGAACCGAAACCAGAACCATTCTCAATCGGTTCCATATTTTAAGAGCCGGAATCACTCATATCGGTATCGGCGGGTTCCACTGCTCACCCCTAATTCCCCTCGTGCAATTTCACCACCTCTTCCATGTAGATCTAACCATTTTTGTATGACTCGATATTTATGTTCGCCAGATTCTTGAATTAGGGGTTTTGATTTGGGTCTTTTTCTTGTTTTTTATTTAAATCTAGGGTTTTGATCTCGTAGGTTTTGAATGTTGATGAACATCCACTATGTAATTCAAATGCCCACAATGACGAGGAGGATGTTGTTTCAAGCTCGGACATTGAACTTTGATGATGAACAGACCTTTAACAACTGGTGAACACCCTTCCATATCCACAACCCATCTTCGATTAGATGCCATCAGCATCTATTTCGCTTCTGCATATGCATTGCTTTCTTGGCAACATTTTTTTTTTGTAACAACCAAATTCATCTTGTTTTTGTTTTTCAATTTATATTCTATTTAATACTTGAGTTAGGGTTTATATATATATATTTCCCTTTTAGAGTGGTACTACTCCTAGATGTGTGCAAGTCATGCATCAATGGTCTTTAATAGAATCAATTTAATAGATAAGGATTGTTTGTACATTCTTAAGCCTTTTGTCTTTTTTATTTGAATCCACGTGTTTATTATATATATATATATATATATAGAGAGAGAGAGAGAGAGAGAGACGGGTTACGTTGCAAACCACTTAATTCATGAAAACTATGCAAACCACTTTCGACCAATAGAAAAATTTCGTTTTTTTATTTAATTTTAATAAGTAAGGGTATAATGGTCATTTCATCATATATTGATTAATATTGGAAGGTAATAACTACTGTTAATTATGGAATTGTATTAATGAAAACGTTTCATATGGAAGGAGGTAAATCTTTTTTCTTAATATAATTTTTTACCATTAAATTTTATTATTATTTTATTAAATTATACTTATTAAAATATTAATTGTAAAAGAAGTAGAATATGAAATCTATGTTCGTTTCATTTTTGAAACAGTTTCATTTATTGATTTAATGAAACAGTTTCATTAACGGTTATTGAATTAGTATTGAAACAAAAAATTATGAAACAGTTTCATTTCTTGATTTATTGAAACAGCTTCATTAACGG